AAAAGTGCTCACGGCAAGTAAACGGACTGGGGTTCCTTTTAAGTGAAGAGATGTTGAAGTGGTCAAGATTTCTGAAAAGTGGGACAGAAATTGATGGAGTTTGGGCTAGGTCCATCTGCCTTCAGGAAGCAGGGGAACAGGTCCGCGGCAATAATGGGGTTCCTTTGACGTGAAGCGCCGTTGAACTTGTCAAGATTCCTTAAACGTGGGGAATGTATCGGGTAGAATTTAAGCTGGGTGGTTTGGTCCTTTGAAGAGAGAACTTTAACCACAATAGCTCAGCTTGGCTTATTGAGCTAGAATTCCACCGTCCACTTCATTATTTACTTCCCACCAAATAAATATTATCATGGCAATTTCAGGCACAGCAACCGTCCTCTTCAGCGCGACCATTGACTCCACTTGGTCCGACGACACCGCTGTTCCCACATATCCTTTCCACCTCTCCACTCTCACCTCACTGTAGTAGTAGCGGTAGGTAACTCCCTCCCAAATGATTCCTATCCCAGTCGAGAATATCTGGATTTCTAGGTGCCTCTGACACGAGTTCGCTCTGTGTTTCCGATCCCGATCATGACAGCGACAAGATGTCCATACTGTCAGAAGCGGACTCAGGCGTTGTCTGTACTCGAGGTAAGGTCTTATAGGCTTTTTCTTCCAAGTTGGAGCTTTTTCAGCGCTGGAATTTCATAGAAAAGCTCAAATTCTCTCATACTGACACCCAGGAATGGTTTGGTGCGGCCTTGTTGTACTTCTGTCACTAACTCGTTAGGAAGTGCCTTCCTTGGCTCCGCTTGGAGCTTTCGTCGTCCTTGGGGCCTTAGACACCACCACTGGAGTGTAGCAGGGTGCCATACTCTGTTAGTACAATATAGCAATAAAGCTGTACTTTCAGCTTCTCGTCCCTCTTCAATGATTGGACCGCCAATTCCTCGATTACCAAACATTCTTACTCCGTCCACGAGTGGAGTGATTATCCCCTGCGGTACGTTTATTGCCTTCACTTGGTTAAATAGAGCTCTTAAAAAGTTCTTGAATTCAGGTATCTGTCAGAAGCCGTCGTATTTCGCCGATGAGACGGCGATATCAATGCACCTGCAAATATGGCCATTCAAAATGTGATCTCACGCTATCTGAGCCAACATCCTCACTTAGCAGCTAAAGAAACAAAACCCTCCACGACTGCAGAATCCGAAAAGGAGCCAAATTGTCAGGTGAGCCGGACCTCTTCAGAATGTGGTCACCTTAGTTTCCTCACCTCTGTCACTCAGGAAGTACCCGAACCGTTTGGTGGCAGCTATATAGCTGAGCAGCAGCCT